AGCGTGGGGCACGGGGCATGGTGGGCAATAGCAACAGCTCGTCAAACGGCTGGGCTGGGACAAGGAGCCTGAAGAAGGAGGATACAGAATTTTATCCCAGAATGAGGCTGGTACTGAACAGGCAAGGAAAATAGGAGTGGGCGTCATGGTTTAACCGCAGGAGGCAGTAAACACTACAGGGCCACTCATTCACTCCCCTCCCAGTGGGATGGGGGAGAGAACTGGAAGGGTGAAAGTGAGAAAATTTGTGCATTGAGATAAAGACAGTTTAATATGTACAAAAAAGGAAACAGAAGCAAACCCAAGAAAAGCAAGTGATGCAAAATAACCCAGCTGCTCACCAACCAATGCCAATCCCCAGGCAATGACAGCCCCAGCGAACTCCAGCCCCCCAGTTCCCAGTTTTATTGCTGAAGATGATGTCATAGGTATGGAATATCCCTTTGGTCAGTTGGGGTCAGCTGTCCCAGCTGTGTCCCCTCCCAGCTTTTTGTGCACCCCCAGCCCACTGGCTGGTGGGGTGGTGTGAGAAGCAGAAAAGGCCTTGGCTCGGTGGGAGCACTGCTCAGCAATAGCTGAAACATGCCTGCGTTATCAGTAACGATTTCATCACAAATCCAAACACAGTGCCATATATGCTACTGTAAAGAAAATTAACTGTATCCCAGGCAAAACACTGTACACTCGAATTGCAAGCCACAATGGGGTAAGAACAGAAAAGACCTCATGTGGGTGCATGCCTGTTTGGGGGAAGAAGAATCAAATGGACAACAAGGTGTTCTTTAAACACTCTTTTTTCCACAATGTTGACTAAAGCTGTAAAACTGGATTTCACTCTCTACGATCAGTAAATACCTCTGAAACCTACAAGCGAGGTACAGTATCTCTCCAGTGCAGTTTGCAGAGAAGGTGAGGACTTGTTACTGCTACCAGTTAGTCCCCTTGCTATGCAGCAGAGGTTTCAGTGCTCTTACGATTGTTGATCCTCACGCAGTGATGGGATTCTAGGTTTGTTTTTTTCCCAGTTTGCTTAGGAAATTAAACATTTTTCCTAGTGTTAAAGAACATGATTGCCTTTTGAAGGTTAATAAATTAAAAGTTAGAAAATGTCAGAAGCTCTTGTTCTGCTTTAAGTCAGACCCTTAGTATTTAGACTTACATACCATTTTCAGATATTCTACTCCATACTGATTTTTCTCCTGGCCAATGTTTATTTAAGTGTCTAGGCTGCAGATTCTTTTCAAACTAGTCCTGCAATTGTGGACTTTCTAAAAAGTTTATTCACTAATTGAAAGGGGGAAGCCAACATTAACTGGGTGAAAATGGTTAGGCAGCTTCTGCTTTTGAAATGGCACAAAAAAGGAGCTTGGACATACTTACACCAACGTGTAAGCACATGTTCTCTCCTGAACAGCAGTGTGTCAGTGTAATGTATCAATTATCCTCTACATGCTTCTTTTACCTGACACACAATCCTGATATTGTAGGTGTTCAGGTAAAAAGCAGAATGGTATTGGCTTTGTTCCATTATTCTGATTTTTTTTTAAATTAATGAAAACCTGGATTCTTTATGTACCTTAAGTTCTTGCTAATATCACTTAGAATCTTCTGCAAGACTGGGCCCAAAGCCCAGAACACATTGTGAAGTGGTGACTTATTTGTTGATGAAAGGAAAATATGTACTTAATAAAAACCTTTATTTTGATGGCATGACAGTAGAAGACTTGCTGCTCCAGCTAGATTCTGCACCTGCTTCCTGGGTGTATCTTGTGTGTGCAAATAGACAATACCATTTTTGCCTATTTCACAGAAGTTAGCTATTCAACCCAACTGTTAATGACCAGGGTTGTTGGACATCTGCATCTAGAGCAGTAGCATGTATAGTCAATGAATACAGAAAAGCACTCTGCAGGTGTGACTCATCTGACCTACTTTGCCTGGCTGTTTTAGCATGAGATGACTCATGCCTGAGGAGGTGCCTGTCTCTCTTCATTGGGCATAAAGCAAGTGGAGGGTGACTGGCTTGCAGATAGATGTCTGCATTCCTTCACAGCCATCTCACCCTTGTCATCTTTTTACTGGCTTGTTTGATTATTGTGCCATTTAGACAGTTTGCTAACAGCCCACCTACCACTCTCATTTAACACTCAAGAAGAGATTTTTGCTTCAAAGAGTATATTGAATCATCCCTGTCTGTAAGGGGTCTGTACCTAAAGTACCTCCTGATTCTCAATTACTGTGGTTGTAATACTGTGAAATCTTTCAAAGGCTTTAATGAAAGTCAGCCTAAATCTGACTCTGAATTATTGTAATCAAGATTCAGTACAGGTTTTGATTGGGAAATGCCATGGCAAATGGTTCGGAGAGAGAGAGAAGGCATATAATACTGCAATATACTTCTCAATAGACAAAGAGGTCTTAAAGCCATATATTTATGCGTGCCAGCTACTTACTAATGCTCATGGAGTTGTGTGTTAATTCAGCTTACGAAATTTCAGCTTCCATGGCTTTCATGGAAAGGAAATGCAGTATTTTCCCAGCACACTGCTGACTGCAAGTATCAGAAGTGTGTAGCTTTCAATACTGTACATGCTCTTTCCTGTGGTGCCTTTTGGATGGCGCAGTATTGTTTCTGCTTTGTTCGTATGTTCTGAAGTAATCTATATATATTGTTTTCCACAGGGATCAGGAAAGGTCTGCCGTGTTACAGAGCTGATACCCTAGAACCAATGATTTGCCTTGAGCTTCTCCTGTAATATTTCACTGATTTCTCCCTCCACTACAGAAAATGGCTTCAGGCAGTCTTTCATCTGATATGTGTACCAGAGATCCAGATCTGGATAGCAAAACGTGCAGGAAAGTGGCTTTCATCCTAAGTGACTGTCACTTTCAAGTAAAATAGCACCTGTAAACTGTCTTGAAAAGAATCTCAGCATTTTTTTTCTTTTGTCATTTCAATCACAGCCTTCCTATCTGAGCTGCACTTTTTCCTCATTTTTCTTCACAAGAGCTTTCTTGTTATGCTTAGTATGCAAGGATGCAGTTAAGTTCCCCTGATGACTTAAACGTGAGCTTCCAGGATTTATGGGCTTTCTTCTGTGATGAGTATAAATTGTCCATTGACATGGGAAAGATTCATAGGCCTCGAATATGTGTAATTATGTTTAACACATGCGAGGTTACAGGTAAAGTCACACCACAGTCCCTCAAGCACAAGCCCCTGGACAGGCAGCTCTACACAGCTGCATCGAATTCACAGTAGCAGATACATGGCATGACCGTCACTTATTGTCACAATTTCCAGAAATGCAAAATACTTCTATACAGTAAAAAGCTGCAGTATATACCAGGTTGGGCAAAGTTAATTTATTTCTTCATCCCTTCTCTGTCAGTGCAGGGACTGTGATTTACTGCATATTCACTGACTAAAATAGGGAGGTTCCACTCTAGCTACTTTCTGGGTGCTGTTGGAGCATTAAACATGTAATAATAACTAGATTTTTAATAAAATGGTTTCAATTGCTGAGTGATAATAAGACTTTCTGTCAGTGTAGCAATGACAATTTGAGATCTGACAATTTATCATTTCTGTACACATTTTCATTAGAACAAAATATAATTGGAAGTTGGCTGGGAGTTTTGCTAATGGCGCAGAAAGAATAATAAAATCTAATGTAAGAAACATTATATATAGTCTTGGAATGGTAAAAAACTGAAAACATTGGATTTAAAGAACTCATTCTTCCTGTGTTATCCCTCTGCGTCTATCTAAGCACCTAGTTACGATCTGTTTGAAAAGGAAAACAATTTCATTTTGATACAACTCAGGTCTAGTTACAGCTTTGACTGTGTCTAATTTACAGTATTATTTCTTCCAAAAATCCCATTTTAACACTATTGTCATAATTTCCTCTTCTCCAAGCACTGAGAGGTTGATAGAAATCTGCTTTACAGAAACCTTATCTATTTGTATTGGAGTGATACCAGCAACGTAGTAAGATTTTGTCTGTCTTCTTCCTAGCCACCTGCTGCTTTTGTTTGGAGTGGGAGCGAATAGGGAGCAGCAATCACATTTACTTTGGTTTTCCTGCATCTAAGCTTTTTGACTCACGCATATCAAGTCTGTCTTTTGCTGGGACTTTCACCACACCCTTTTTGTCTCCAGCAGGTTACCAGTACTTTCATTATTTCTTTGTCTGTGTCTCCACTATCTAATTTAATGTTGGTAGGGCCAAAAAGAGCAATGGAGCAAGGAGGAACTGGAAGACCCAGCTCTCCCCTGCCATTCAAGATGTCTGTCTTACTGTGCTCCAGTGCTTCTTGCACTGAAAACTTACTTGAATTACCTTAAATTACTCTTCTTTCCATTTCTGTGCTGTTTCAGCTCTTCAGCCCTCCCCATTCCAGGCATACCTCTTCTGTTTCTTAAGATTGGTTGGTTTGCTTCTGGAGCTTTCAGCTGAAATCTGATGTTTCAAGCTATGGAAAGGAAATGTCACCAACTGAATGTGAGCATGAGGAGTGCAACAGGTGATACCATTTCTTAGGGATCAGCTCTGTTGTCAGAGCTTTGATTTTTCTCATAGGCTAATTGGCAATTTCTTGGAGAGCGTTTCTCATTGTGAACATGTTCAAAGGGAAGTTCCGTCCTTATATGGAAGCCCTCCTTTAAAAAAAGAAATCCACCACCAAAAAAATAGGACAGCACAGTGATTTTCTCACTTGCATGTTTTAATGAGCTAGGCTAAGATTTAAAAGACATCTATCATCATGCTGGTATTGTAAAGCATTTTCCAAAGGGCCTTAGTTGCAGAACTGTGTTCTGAGTTCTGAAATATCTCAATTTGGGCACTGCAAATGGAGACATCTAAGAACCATTGGTTGTTTTTTGAAATTGTGACCTTCCAAACTTAGCTTTAAAGGACAAAACCACAAACTGCTCTTGCATTGTGTTGCACTGTGTTGTTCCTGCAGCTGTGCTGGTATGGGCTGACTTCCTGGGATCTCACAGGTAGGAGCATTTCTCCATAGACATGTCCAAAAAGAACCATGCTGTTGGAATAAATATGGTCAATAAGTTGGTCAGCAGTAATCTCCTCCTGGTGTGACTGAGATAATATGATTCATTGTAGCACACCAAACTACCATCTTGCCACTTAAAAGGATGAGAGTCATTAGGCATGTTGTGTGATGCATGCAGGTGGGTGGTGCTCTCATCAGAGTGAGTCTTCTGCTAGCTTCTGCTTCTGGTCATGCCTTCCAAGGCAGAAAGAGTCTGGTTTCCATGGTACTTGTCAGTTGCCTGGCTGCCCAAACAGTATAAAGAAGTAGTCAATGGGCAAAACATATGTTTTCCTATAAGGTTGAGTTTAAAGTACTGAAAAAAAAGGTGGCTTTAGCTCTTGTATTTTTTTTTTTAAACTTAGATTACTTTAATCACTGGCTTTGTTTTCTGAGAGTCATAATACGTTATATGCTTTGATTGGCTTTGTTATGGGTACAATTTAGAAAATAACTATTAATCATTGAGCAGTGAGTCAAAATGAAGAATTAATTCAGAATTTCAATAGCACATCTCTCAGGCATGTTCTTGTTTTAAAAAACATATTCCTTGGGTATCTTCTTTTATATGAAAAATTAAAGCTAGTGTCTTCTATACTTTTGTTTAATTCTGATGATCTGCTAGATAGGTATTAAATTTTAGGAAATGCTGGTCTTCATTTTTTATGGAAGTAATTTTATGCACAAAGTAGAAATGCTGCTATTGTGTTTAAGGCCCAGTAGTATCCATAGTGAAAAATACATTAAATAATGGGGAAAATGTTGTAATTACATGGGAAAGACTAATAGATGCTTAATCTGAAAATATATTAAATGTATTCTTTTTAATTTTAATAATAAGAGTAATACAATAGCAAATTTATTGACTTCTCTAAATACTATAGGCAAATGCTTCAAAACTCAATATTTGAACTGAGAAACACAGTAACAGAACTGGAAAAAAGACTTAGCAGTGTTGAAGATGAAGGTAAGTGAATTGCAACAGATTCTTGCTAATTGATTAAGAAACACAGAAAATTAATTATTTTGGGTAGGCTCTACAAAGATACAAATTTTTATTTAGAAATTAAAGTTTTCCCTTTTCAAACATGACTATTACAGGTATGATGCTGCTAATGTGAAGCTAAGGAATACTATATGCTGCATTTTAGCTTTAATTATTAACAAAACTATGAATAACATGAATTCATAGAGTTGGTTAATATTCTGGCCACAGTAAGCCCACTGAAAATTCCCTTGATTTGTATTTTCAAGCTCTTTTTGTATGCAAAAATCCTCATTATGAGGATTACTAACTGGGGACTTTCTCAGTCTCCAGAAAACAGTGGGAACCATTTAAAAAAATGCTAACTTTTACTTGAAGTGGCATGGAACAATCTAGAAAACAGAATAACTGTATTTCTTTTTAAGGTAGTGAATGGAAAACCAGATATGAGACACAAGTAGAATTAAACAAACAGCTGGAAAGGCAAATTAATATTCTTCATGAGAAGATGGAGCTTATTCATGGCAATCCATCAGGTAGAAATGGGTATTCGTTACTGTTTTTTCAGTGGAATTAGTGATTATATGTTGAAATCATATTAATGGGTCAAATTTCTGCTTATTTGTAGATAAACTGTCCATTGTTCGCACCTTTGATCAAATGCCTGTGGTGAGTACTATGGCATTTAGTTGATTAACAGAAAAGCACAGTGTAATTCAACAACTTGTATAATCTTTGTTTTTTAATGACAGAAAATAGCAGCAGCCTGGTCTAGAAACCAAAATAATCCGTCCTGCTTATTTTTTTGTTGTTTCAGATATGCAGTATCTTATAAATTTATAAAGAGTAGAGTAAAATCACTACATAGGAGGTACATATCATGTAGTGAAATTTTGGACTGAGTGGAGGTTGTGTGATTGGACCTGCAGTACAGCATATGAGAAGGAGTAGCTGGACCTGTTCCATGAGTAAATGGAAAAATATTAAACCTTGATCACAAAATCATGGAATCATCTAGGTTGGAAGGGCCCCCTTTGAGATCTTCTAGTCTGCCCCTCCCACTCAAACAGGGCCAGCTGGAGCAGGTTGCCCATCATCGTGTCCGTTTGAGTTTTTAATATCTCCACATAAGGAGACTCCACAACTTCTCTGGGCAATGTGTTCCAGTGCTTGACCACTCTTAAGAAAAGTGCTTCCTTGTGATCAGATGGAATTTCATGTGTTTCAGTTTGTGCCCATTATCTCTCATCCTGTCAGTGGGCACCACTGAGAAGAGCCTGGTTCCCTCTTTTTCATTCCCTTTCATCATGTATTTATACATATTCCTGAGATCTGGGTCTGCTCTTGTCCAGGCTAAACTGTCCCAGGTCTGTCATCCTCTCCTCATCTGTCGGATACTCCAGTCCCTTAATAATCTTGGTAGCCCTGTGCTGGACTTGGTCCAGGAAATCTATACCTTTCTTGTGCTGAGGAGCCCAGAACTGGACCCACAACTCTAGATATGTCTCACCAGTGCTAAAGAAAAGGGATGGATCACCTCCCTCCACCTGCTGGCAACATTCTTCTTAGTGGAGCCCAGGTTGCCATTGGCCTTCTTTGCAGCAAGAGCACATTGCTGGCTCCTGGTCACCTTGTTGTTCACCAGGACCCCAAGGTCATTCTCTGCCAAGCTCCTTCCCAGCCATTCAGCCCCCAGCATATGCTGGTGCCTGGGGTTGTTTCTCCCTGGAGGAAGGACTTTGCATTTCCTCCTGTTGAACTGAACTTCATGTGATTCCTCTCTGGCTGCTTCTCTGGGCTGTTGAGGCCCGTCTGAATGGCAGCATCATCCTCTGGTGTATCAGTCACTACTCCCAGTTTTGTATCAACTGTGATAACATAGATGAATAGTTGCAGTAACATTTTGCATAATACAGTTACAGGAAAATTCCTCATTGTACATTAAATACACCATTTTTGCAACATCAGAGGAAGTATCTGGTTTCATTTTTGAAATTTTATTTCTTAATACACTCATATTTCATGACCTGTATTTCAACAAAGCATAAAACATTCTTCTATGATCTTGAGGAGAAAATGGCAAGAAAAAGCCAGCAAATATTTTGGCCATTTAGTCTTCTAAGGTAGTAAATTAAGTGAAAACATTTTTACATTCAGAACTGCTTTTTCCTTAGTCTGTCATCTGCTGAACTCTTTTACTTTGAGATCTTTTCTGCTTCTTACTCACTTTTAGAAATAAGGAAGACAGATAAAGATGTGATAATGCCTTGTAACATAAGCAGAAAGAATAAACATTATGTGGCAGGGCTCTGATTATTTTTATTCCAGTAGTTTATGCTTACAGAAGTGTTTCCATCTTATGTTTTGGTGCTTCAGATTGTGAAGATTAATGGGAGTTTACTGAGCCCAGAGGAGGCTGCATGTCCTATTAGTGGGAATGATTTTCTGTTGTAAGCAGGGTGTGAATAATTAACTGCTCTTTCTGATCTGATCCATGGCTTTCAGATAGTAAACATTCTTGCCAGTTTTAGCACTGACCTAGAGACCATGGTTGTCAGGATATTTTTTTTTTTTTTGAACAGTTAATTAAAGAGAGAACAAATTTTTTCCCATCCCACTTTCTTGTTTCATAGAGTTGATTTGAAAATACAACTTGGATTACATTTGAAGAAAAGTCCTGAAGACAGAACATTGATCTAGAAAATTTACAGCAGTGTCTGCTTCAGATAATGTTATTCCTGTCAGCTTGTAAAGCACAGGCTGGCATGCGTGCTTACGGTATCAGAAGTGTTTATTTCCATCCAATTGCTAGTACTCTCAACAAATCCAATTACACCTTGCCAAGCACTCGAAGCATCATTACCAGTGAGATAATCTTTCCCAGCAGTTGGGCTTCACCAATCCAGTACATTTCTAATCCCTACTAAATACTGCCTTGCCTCCTCACATACGAGCCATGTTTCTGAGAGGTTTGATTACTTTTCCCACAAAGGAAAGAACGACAGTGCAATGGAAAGATTCATATGGCTAGGAGTCTAGAAGACGGTTTGGAGAGTCCTAGACTTACTCAGTGACACCTCGGGATGCTGGAGCCCTTGTGCCATGCCATAGGTTTTTCTTCTGCAGTTTTAAGTCCTTCCTTCAGCCTTCCAGCTTAGAGTGAATACATTCTTCTGTTTGCTACCCAGAGGGGGGAAAAAAAAACTGCTTAGGGATTTAGTGAAATATTTCATTTTGCTTTGTTTTGGTTTTAGGAAGATGGAAATGAGGGGGAGAAAATAGATGTATTTTGTGGGCTTTACTTTTTTTTTTTTCATTTAAGCTGTCAGAAAAGTCAGTGTGTATTTACATATACTCTTGGAGAGTGCAGAGCTGCTTTTTTGTCTTTTCAGTTTTAGGAGATAAAACATCCATAAAAAAATGCACGGATCATTCTGTGGTGTTTAAGCATATAGGTTTATCCAAATCCTTTTTATGTTTTTGAGAGTTGTTCAGGGGAATAGGGGGAATATTTAGCTTCTCTGCAGATGAGAATAAAGAGCAGATGTGGTGAGTGGGTGTAGAAAAACAAAGAGCTTTGCAGCCAGTCATCAATGTACAATTGCTCAAAGTAAAAATTCTGAGAGTGGGTATATATAAAATTGTGTGTGTGTGTGTATTAAATCAAAAGTACACTGTGATATTCAGCTTTCAACTTGCAGTTGCATATGAAGCTCTGTGGAAAGATAGCAAAGTGATTCTTCCAGCAAATGATACAATTTCTAGAATATGGCAACAGTAGACAGTAGATTTTGTTTAAAGAACATTTAAAAAATTAAACAGTATTTGCAAGTCTTTTAAACCTATGTTCCCAAGGAAGCTGGAATTATGCAGTTGGGGTAATTAGAAGGACATCTAATAATTCTTAACTTCCTAAGCAATTTTAGCTGCATTTGACAGAGGAGATATCTCAAAGATACTAAAAAGATTCATCTCACTCAGCTAGTCATTTAAGGTCCTACATAGTCAATAGAAGGAGAAAAACATGTCCATAGAGTAATTCATCCCATGTAGAGATAGGTAGCATAAAATATTTTTTCAATATCAAGCACTACAGGGAAAATAAAAAAAGACTAGTCATCAGGGACACTGGCAGTCAGCAAGCTATAAAAACCTGAATGAATGAGAAGAATACAAATGCAAATTCTGGAGTGATGAATAAGGAAACACACAGGATTTTCTGTGTTGATAAATTGCAATAATTGTTGCAGATGGCTTGCACTATTTTTCTGCTTTAGAATTAGAATTGTACTGATGAATGATTTCTTGATATTAAAAACACCCCTGAACTATTCAAATATCCAATTATAATTCTGAAGTTCTTATACTAACTTGAGATAATCCTTTTTTTTTTGTTTGTTTCAAAAAAATCATGTAGGTGTCACATGACAGTAAGTGCAGAACCAATACCTTGAACACACAAATTTTTACAGCCAGAGTTTAGACAATCATTGTTGTGTACTGAGGGCAGATTAAAAATAACCTGAGCAGTGACAAGCACAAGGGAGTTCCATCAGTGAAAACTGTTTAGTCAGTAATTTCCTTTATGTCCCAACGAATAATACAAATGTCATACAGTACTTCAGAAATAATTACAGAAGGAATGCCTTCTCTCTGAAGTATAATGTGATGTGAATTTTACTTGCCTCTCTTAAATGTGCTGCATTCATTTGTTTGCATTTTTTCATTAAATGAGTTTCGGTGAAATATATGCTCTCTCTTAAGCATAATTTTCCTCATAAGCAGAAAGAAAATTATTCCTTTCTCTCTCACCATTTCTTCAAGAAAGAATCCCTAGATAGCAGCTTTAGTATGCAAATACTGAAAAGCATACTGCAAAATCAGTTCAGAAGAGCACACTCCTGATAGCATTGCCGTAGCAATGCTCCAGTTAAGATTAGCCAAGGAACCAAGGTTTCTGTGACAAATCACCATTTTCAGGAATGTCCAGCACTGTAACTGAGAAAATTCTGACATTAAGGGCCAGATACTTGCTTTGCAAAGCTACCTTTCTGAGAGCACTGTAACCACAGAACTGAGCCCCTCACACAACCACCTCAGGGTTTTTGCTGTCAGGTTTAAACTGTAAGCAGAATGTGTGGCAGTGTCACAGTGGAGAAGGTGTTGGCAACATGACAGGAAGGGAATCTTGGGTTTATGAAAACATGCAACAAAGACTCGGTATTTCAGTAGGTGTTGATAACTGCCTGTAGGGAACATCAGCACTTTAAAACGGCGTGGGAAATGTTGACAATTCTCCTAGCAAGTCACTGTTAAATGAACCTTGTTGCTCTTACTGGATTAAGTTACCAGTAGCTCTATGGGAAGAAGAAATCTGTTATCCTGCCCTTTCATGAAACTTGTAAGTATTTTGGGGAAAGTTCTGTAGTCTTGTCTGACTGCCCTAAGCTGTATCCTGCCTCCTCACAGACTTCCCCTTCCTACTCCTTTCATCTGACCTCAGACAAGTATTTTAGATGCCTCCAAGAGACCTTTTTGATTTTCATTTTTTCCTTTCCTTGTGATGTGTATGTTACTTGTTCCTCCTGGTGGCCTTGCAGAAACCAGCAGACTGTTTTACTCAAATCACTTTGTGGTATTCTCAGAGGCAGAATACACTTTGTATTTCA